ACACATGATGAGTCTGAATTCAGAGGGTTTCAGGTGTCCTTCTAGTACATCCTCAGAGAAGAAGCAAATCAGCAAAATAGTTCTTCACAGAATGGAGTTTAAGTTCCTTTGGTCTAGAATGAAAAGCATGCATACATTTTTCCCCCTTCACATATGGAGCATATAGAAGATAAAAGAGACCATGCTAACCCAGAACATATGTTTTTGGCTAGAATTACACTACAGCTTATTATGTCCATCCCTGGAACAGTATTTTTACTGTATTACAATTGCCATGGGGAGGATAATATAAATCCATTGCACGCTGACTATAGAACAAAGCAGCTTCTTACACCAGAGTAGATTCAAGATATTGCCTTAAATTATGGCAAAGAATCAAATTATTTATTCATTTCATGCTTTGTATTCTATCCTTCCTCCAAAAAGTTCAGAGTGAATGGGGATTCTCCCCCCCCACCATTTTAACCTTAACAATTATGAAAGTGAGATTAAATTTAGAGTCAGCTTTATGGCTAGATGGGACTTTGACTGGCTCTCCATAACCTGAGTCTGGCACACATCCCTATACACAATATACACCTTGCTGAAGGTGGAACAGGGGGAATCACATTTCTAGATGAAGCTTCTTTGACAAGTTTTGTCTGCATGTAGTACAGGTGTGCTATGTAGAATTAAAGCCTTTATATAAGTAGGAATTAAATTATTGGCATTTCATTTTATTTTCCATTTACTAATTTTTCATAATGCGTAATGATTTAATAGTTATATAAACAAGAACATAGCAACAGGTATAAAACAGATAAACTAATTTATAACAGAAATTAGTCTATTTATTTTATACCAGTTGCCACAGTCTTGTTTATATTATTATTAAATCATCATACTATGTGAAAAAAATGGAATTCGTTTTCTGAAAAAGGCAAATCTTTAATCTTTTAACTCATCTACCTACAGGGAAAGTTATGATTTTGTTGCCACATAAAATACTAATTCAGCAACTAAAAACTAATTCTGAAAACCAATTGGAAATGTTACTGCTATTTTTTTAATCTACCCAATTACAAATTTCTTTGCATAGTTAAAGGAATAAAAACAGTACATGATACAAGAATAAATAGCCTAAGAACAAAATATACATAAACATGTTTCTCTTCCCCAAGAATGAGGGCACTTAAAATTTAAAACTGAATTTTCTAATTCTAGAATGCTCAGGAAAATTTTAAAAATATTCTGCAGTGGCACCAGGAAGAAATCTTCAGGGGAACTATTTCATAAAGTGACCTCACCACTGGAAAGTCTTACCTTAACTTCATTTTGTAGGACATTCAAAAAAGCATCAGCTTTTACAATTATACCTGAAGAGCAGTGCTGAAAATAATGCAGTGCTTGCTACCAGCCAACACTCCTTCTTCAATCCCTGGGGTCTCCAAAGTGAACAGGGACCAAAAATGTGGCTCATTTTCCATCCATCCATC